GCTCTCCATCGTAGTTCTTCAGGCAAATGATGCCTAGAGGTCATTATTACGAATTGGCTATCTCAGATTTTCAATGTCGCAATCACAGTAAAATTTGTGTGCTTTCTCTCAAACTTGGACTTTTATGCTCCAGGCAGATGACGTAAGCCGAGTGCAGCGCCACTAATTTGCATATTGCAATTTTACTCAGCTACTCTTAGTGGACAACATATGCAAATTTTGCACGGTTTGGCTTACTTTTGAAAGAGCTATCGCTATTTTTGTGATTTTTCCTTAATTTATGATAACCAGTGTATATATATATATTACTGAATGTACATCGTTCTTGAAAAATGCACAGAGAAAAAAATTACTTTCAAAACTATACCACGTTTCTAGCTCTATGGGAACACCAAAAAACTCGGTAATTTTAAGCACTTTGGTAAGTATTTTGGTAAAATTAGTAGTAAAATATAATTTATAATGCGTGATAAAATTCGGCAAATATGATAAAATTTGGTGATTTATCATGATACCTTAGATCTTGCTATTTTAATTACTTATTGGTGTATTTTTTATAAACGTGTGGTAATAAAAATTTTAATTTTGAAAGCCAAAAGTTCTGATAAACAGCTGCTATATCAACGAAAAAATTACTAAATGTATAGTTTAAATACTTTATATTTTGGTTCTTTTAATCAGAATTATGTGGTTTTTAAACAGAAATGTCATTACCAGACTGTATGGTAATTTTACCAAAATTTTTTTCTCCCTTTGCGGAATTCCTGTAAGAATAAAGAATAAATTAATTTAGAGAGAATAAATTTATAGCAAAAAGGGAATCAATAACATTTTATGAAGTATAAATATTTTTCACATAAACTATTAAAAATAAAAAAAAAGCATTTCTGTGGCATTTGATACCAAAGAGAAAGAAAAATAGTAAACGTTCCTGTCTTAGAAATTTGAAACCTAAAATAGAAGCTGAAAAATTACTATTTTTCGAAAATAGTCTTCTGAGATAAAACTTTTAAAGTCAGATAACAGTTGTTATGCTTCGTTTAACATAAGCAAAAACTTTGCTTTCTAAAGTGAAAAAAATAACCATTCTACAACGTTGACTGTTACGCTTAAATAAGCTTTGGAGTGTGTGACTTTATTCGATAAACGTGGTATGTATTATAAATACTTGGGAATAAATAAAAGTAATTTTCTTCAGAACATGCCACAAACATGGGGATAGAAGATATTGAAATTTCTACTTCTAATATTTGAAGTAGTTTTTCGAATATTAAGCTAGACGTCGTTGTTTTCATTTAAATAGTTTACTGAATATTTATTAAATTATTTTCGTAAGTTGAATTGAAATAAATTTAAAGATATTCATAATGTATAATAAAAATAAATCCCAACTTTACGAAGGATATAGTTCACTAAAATGTAATTTTAATCTATTTATTTATTTATTTTTCATATTAAAAATAAAAATTCTCCCATACATCCAGCTCTGCGCTAAAGCTTTCAAATTTTAATGCCTTAAATAATATGAAGTAAACTATCTAAGCAAACGCTTAGGGGTCAAATTAATCATTGAAGGATTTAGGTTTAAAAAGAAATTCATTCCATTTTGAACTGCGTTTTTAGTCGATTTTTGCATAAACAAATAGGGCATTTTCATTATAGATATAAACAGAAAAAATATTTTTATATAGTTTTTCCTATAAATGGGAATAAAATAATTAAAGACTAATAAGAAATAAAGATTCATAGAAAAAGCGACTGATGCAGCAACTATCTTTCCAAAGCACTGTCAATCTTCACAATGTAATAACTCTCGGGGATAGCCTACTTTCATGCCTACTTTGTCAAAGCTTAGTAATCATCAAACTTCAGCAAATGGTAATCTAATTGTCCTTATGTGAAAAATGGACTCAAGCCGTTTTTCCCCCTTGCTTTGCAACTGTACACTATAAAAAATGGACAATCAAATATCAAGACGCTTTCATCGTTTTTGATTAAATCGTTTCCTGGTATATTCTGCGAGCAAAAATTTCATCGAAGTGATGAAATAACTGTCATCACTTTTTCGAGGAAACGAATTTCATCAAAATTAAAGAAATGTTTCATCTTTTTACTTTTTCAAAAAAGGAAGAAAAAAATCCTATTGCCTAATGTGCTACATTTCTAACAATCATTTTATCGTTGTCACCAAATACGTGAATCAATGTCACAACTCGAGGACCACCATACACGCCGGTCGGATTATTTTGTCACTTTATTTTTTATCATTTAGTCTTCACTCTAGTTTCGTCATTCCAGTTAACAATCTCCCACAGGGCACTACGATGAGGTATCGAGTTGTGGAAACATTTTTGCCATATAGTTAAGAATTCGCATTTAATCACAAATCACATGATTTTGTGACGAAATGATTCTTAAAATNTGAACTGCGTTTTTAGTCGATTTTTGCATAAACGAATAAGGCATTTTCATTATAGATATAAACAGAAAAAATATTTTTATACAGTGTTTCCTATAAATAGGAATAAAGTAATTAAAGACTAATAAGAAATAAAGATTCGGAGAAAAAGCGACTGATACAGGCGGACAATAACTATCTTTCCAAAGCACTGTCAATCTTCACTATGTAATAACTCTCGGGGATAGCCTACTTTCATGCCATTGATTTTTCAAAGGTTAATAATCATCAAACTTCAACAAATGGTAATCTAATTGTCCTTATGTGAAAAATGGACTCAAGCCGTTTTCCCTCTTGCTCTACAACTGTACACTATAAAAAATGGACAATCAAATATCAAGACGCTTTCATCGTTTTTTGATTAAATCGTTTCCTGGTATATGCTGCGAGCAAAAATTTCATTGAAGTGATGAAATAACTGTCATCACTTTTTCGAGGAAACGAATTTCATCAAAATTAAAGAAATGTTTCATCTTTTTACTTTTTCAAAAAAGGAAGAAAAAAATCCTATTGCCTAATGTGCTACATTTCTAACAATCATTTTATCGTTGTCACCAAATACGTGAATCAATGTCACAACTCGAGGACCACCATACACGCCGGTCGGATTATTTTGTCACTTTATTTTTTATCATTTAGTCTTCACTCTAGTTTCGTCATTCCAGTTAACAATCTCCCACAGGGCACTACGATGAGGTATCGAGTTGTGGAAACATTTTTGCCATATAGTTAAGAATTCACATTTAATCACAAATCACATGATTTTGTGACGAAATGATTCTTAAAATTAACTGAACATAGTTCAAGGATTGCGGAATCGTAAAAAGTGAGAGTTTTATTTCTGAGAGTGTAACATAACCGCATTTAGAAAAGATATTTCAGGAATAAATATGAGTCTTTTTTTAACTCTAATATTAATTATATTGCTTTTGTCACGTACATGATAGAATTTCTGCTATTTTTAAATAACATTTGCCTTTAAAAAATTCTTCTATTGCATCTTTAAATAAAAGTCTCTCGCTCAACTAATTTATATAGTCCTTTTCATAACACTTAAAAATTCATATTTTCCTCTTTATAACACTTAAAAGTTCATATTTTCCTTTTTATAACGCTTAAAAATTCATATTTTCCGTTTTATAACACCTAAAAATTCATCTTTTTCTTTTTATAACACTTAAAAATTCATATTTTTAAGCCAACATAACTTCATCATAACTTTTTAGAGTTTTAAACCTCTTCCTCTGCTCAAATTTTTGCCCATTTTTACTTTGCACCGTCAGTTTTATTTAATAGATTGGCATTTTTCGCATGGTGAGAAAAGTGTTGCCGCCTTTATATGCGTTCTTTTAGCTGCCATGTATTAAAAGTGTAGTTTGCTTATTTTAAGGATAATTATTTTCGTATTAATAAGCACCGTGAGTAAATAGCTGGTGTTTTTTTTCACAAATAGCTACTTAAATTTTCTTATTACACTGCTTTTTGTGTCTCCTTTCTTTTCATTATGCATACTCAAGCTGTTATGTTTTTTTATTTCGGATAAACTTAACAATTTTAAGCTTACACTTTATTATGTTTCTTGCTCAACCAACGTTTATAGATTAAAAACAAAGAAACATTTGACCAGAGTTTGTTAAACAGTTTATTTGGCACTAGTTAAAAAGGAAAGATAAATAAAATCTAGAGTACATTAAAAATGTCATTACGAAATAACGAATGACTTTTAACCATCGCCCATATTCTAATTTGTTTGTATTTTTCTGTAAAAATAATAAAAATCAGTGAAAATATCTTGGTGGAATAGAAATTCTAGAGCTTCGAATCATTTAAAAGTATTGGAAAAGTTGTTTTGAAATTGATTATAGCTCAACTGTCTTAGAATGAAAACCATGCAGTTTTCAGAAATATGATTTTCACAAGATTAGATGGATTTCAAATAATTTAAGAAATTTGGAAACAAGGAAATTTTGAGAAACCAATGTTATTGTATGCACAAAGACAAAGCGTCAAAATGGGAGTAATTATTTTCGAAAAATAGCATTCCAAAATAATAATAAAAAAGCAAGATATTGTTGTATTGTTGTTCGAGTTAAAATATAAATTTGAATAAAGTTTTACTTAAAGAAACAAAATTTTGATTTCAACAATAAGCTAGATTGTATTGTTAAATATCATTTTTAAGAAATTTTTTGCTGAAAAATCAACTATAGACATCAAAATTTTTTAAAAAACCAAAACTATCCTTCCTTTTTAGAAGAAATAAGTTCAACTATAGGGTGACAAAGTCTTTCCATATAAATTTAAGGAATTTATTAAGGATACAATGAGAAAAAAGGTATGGTCAAAACAACCAGACAATGGTAACATTCACTGTGTTTATGGCTCTATGATAACACTAAAAAGTACAGTTATTCTTACCGAAGAGCTTTTGAAATAGTTTTGTTAAAATTAAGAAAAAATGCGATTTTCAAGTTTTTTAAAATTTATTAAGTGCGATAAAATTAGGAAATTTTATCATGATACCTTAGAGCATGGCATAAAAACCATTTATTCCTTTAATTTTTCTTTTCAGTTTTGTATTTTTTACTAAATGTGTAATAATAAGTGTTCTATTAGTGTGTCACATCCCAATAAGGACTATTTGAAAACCAGAATTTCCGATAACCCTTTACCATATAAACTGGAAAATTACTAAAGAGACAGTTGTATGCTTTGTATTCTTTGGTTTTATTAACAAGAATCATGGTTTTCTTTTACCATAAAAGTCATTACCATGCAGTACGGTAATCTTATAAGATTTTTTTTTCTCCGTGTAGTTGTGAACAATGAAATACTAACACAGGTTGCTCAAAATTGTACAGTCTGCTTTTAAAAAGTTATAATAGGGCAAAGGTAAATGTTATATATGAATAGCAGTCAAGAAAACATAGACGAAAAAGAGCAAAAAAACTGTTTGCTTCGAAAACTACGTGCACAATTTCTATTAGAAAAATCAGCATATTCTATATCAGTTTATTATTTTTTTAACATTATAATAAAATATTCTACCATAATTTCTTCTAAGAAATTTTCGGTAACATACGACTTATATAATTTGATATTTGTATATGTTTTAGTTAGCTAAAATAAGCGATTGCAATAAACATAAATAGACAAAAACAAACTTTAACAAATGTCTGATAAATAAGTTCTACTATTTAAAAAAATAAAAGTATGACAAAAATAAAAGTTGAATGAAGTATGATTATGAAAAACCTAAATTGTCACTATAAATGTTCAACTCTCTATAAATGTTTTCTCTGAACTGTAGCACTTTATTGAGAATAATCTCACTTCTGTATTTATAGCACCTTTCCGTAACTGTCTCCCTTTCCTATAATAATTTATGCATATCTTCATGTATTATATTTTAAGTATCTATAAATGTCGAGCATAGATATACATGCATATTTCATGCAAATATTACACTTCAACGTCATTATTCCATACAGATCCATAGCAAATCTCAATTATAAGTTTTCTATGGGGACGTAAAGGGTATCGCAATTATACAAAATAACACACACAAATACTCATGGAAGTGATCATGTGGTGCCGGTTTCATTAAATGGGAATATTTTTATATTAAAACAATTTGTATATTATTTGTATTGTATATAATCCATTCTTATATAGTTAATAAGCATTCCTTATGTATCTATAGTTAACGAAAACATGGCACGATGCACACAAAATATATGTCCCTTTACTACCTATTTTTGGGAAAAATAAACATTAAGCCTCTTATAATGTCATTGACTTTCTTAAAAGCCTCAAAATGGGCTTCTCAATAATAATAAAAACTAATTCATTTATAACTTTTTTCCAGCCAATTTTATAATTTGGCCATGAGCAACCTAAGGTTTATGTCATACCTTAAAACGATGGGAAGACCAACAACTGTTTTTGCTCCATCTGATAAAGCATTCAGAGCTATTCAAAATGTGGAAAAGTATCAACAAATCTTTTCTAACGCCACTGCAACAAGCAATGTAAGTACAGAAGTATTGTTTCACAATTAATATTTTATCATTCTTTACATTATATTGACAATTTTATTGTTTTAAAAAGGTTAATGCATGCGTGCATACTAAGTTAAGCATAGCATGTTAAGCATAAATACATGCATAGAGTTTATCGAAATGTACACCCTTTTTCCAGTATATTGAGATCACGTCGAAATTTTCACGAATGTCCTAGTCATATTTTTTGGGAATGGAGTTTACTAAAAATTTAGTAAGATGTGAAGTATATAAGAATTATCAAAATTCTCATCTGGTGAACATTTCACGATTCAAACCATATAAAACATGGGAATTTATTTGGAACCCTATATATATATATATATATATAATCATGTAACAATATCTCCTGTTGACGTACCTGTTGTAATCTAATCTAAATCTATAATACTATATTAATTTCTATTCATATTAAATGACTTAATTTACAATAAATTATGCATAGAAATCTTGAAGAAATTTATTTCAAAATAAAACGGTTGAAGTTCAATTTTTTGGTTTTTGAATAACAAATTTTTCAAAGCAATTTAATACTCTCCCATTTTATATAAAAATTCGACAAAAAGAAAAAAAAAAGATTTGTTTAATTAATGCAACAAATAAGTGTTAATACAACGCATTTTTTTTAAAATTATATAAAGTTAATCATGATTGGAGGAATATTAGGAGATTTGCAAAACATGCAATTTTAATACATTTCCTAAGTTAAATTTTTCTCTCATTTTCTTTCTTTTTCGATTTAAATATATTAACATTTCATATTATTTTTTCAAATAATAGCGAAACATTTGATTACATTCTACGCAGATACTGGATCTCCCAAAAATATCTGTCACTTAAAATATTAGTTTAAAAAAAACAGATGGAGGTTAAAATCTTCGGTTCACTCCACTCTGCTTAGAAAACCTGATATTTTTTACTACTTAGTTTTCAAAATTAGTCACCAAGTACAGAAATTTCAAAGCAATGTTTTATTTGCCTTTCTAGACAATCACAACTGAAATATTTGTAAGCAAAATTTTGCTGCAGGAAAAAGAAGATTATTTTGAAAATATTGCTCATTAGTTTTGCCTTGTTAGCATTGCTCTCTGCTGACAAACTTTGTAACTAGTCTTAAAACTATTTTAAAATAAATCTAATTAGCTAATCAGAATGCAGCAATCCGCATTCCTCTAACTTTTCCTTTTGTTTATTTATCGAAACATCGATCATTTTTGATGAACCTTGTAAAATCTTAAGTATCCAAGCATTTTCATTCTTTATAGTATAATAAAATGATCTATGGACTGACAGTATAAAAGTTTTTTGGTGAATAACATTAATACAGAGTTCTCTAAAAATTATTTTAAATAACAAGTAAATATTTTCTTTAACAGAATATGAAAAACGACTAAGTAGACGCAATCATTTGTCTTCTCCTTCAACAATTTGTTGCAAAGAAAAAGAATGGTAAAGAATGAAACAAAAATTATGTCTTCATGTATTTGCAATTAACTAACAATCTGAAAGAGGTCATAAAAAATCGCTAAAGCAAATTACTCAAAGCAAACCCTCATTTCGAACTAATTTTCTGTTTAAATTTAATTTTTTTTTCTGTCTTTTGCTTCATCAGAATTTTCTTTTCTGTATTCTTTTCAGTTGTTAGAATTACACTTGATTATGGAGTCAGTAGCCACAGAAGATGTCTGGAACAAAAACGTGACTAAACAGTTGACATCGGATAATAGAAGAAATCTTTATTTCCGAGTGGTCGGAGATGAAAGAAACAAAAGTAGGCCTTTAATTATTTTGTTTAATCATTGTACGATTTTACGATCATTCGAGTCAATTTCTTTTTTCATTTCAGTGTTCAAAAATAAAATCGTGCCTTGAATGTAATATACAAGAAAATTACTTTACTTCGGAGTCCCTAAAGCCACTTTCCAATTTAAAACATTCCTTAACATTCATTTTAAAGTTTAATTAATTATTGCATCATTCGGGTAAATAGTCTGTCTGTTTGTTTGTAAGCACAAAGGTTCATTGAGTGCTTGGTAAGGAGTAACTAAAAGTAGCAGTAAGAATTCATCTTATGTTAGTGGATGTTAGAGTCATGTACAGTAATTTTATTAATTTATCAAAGCATTATATAATGTTAGAACCCTTCTTAATTTACCTTTAAATAAAAGTTACATTATATAGATTCTAAGCTTTTTTCATTATTCAGCGACTTAGCATACATTTAATTCAATTTTGTTTAACTATTGACAAAACAAAATTATAGTTTAAATCTAATTGACGAAAAATATTTCTATATCCACTTCCACTTTCCAATTAAAACCAGTTTTCTATTCATGGTTGTTTCTCGATGGCTCTTTTATCGCATGAAGTGGTGCTTTTTTGCGAAGCGCTATTTTCATAACAGTTGTGAGTTTGTAACAGTTAAATTTGACTTTTAAGTCATTTTTAACCTATATTTATCCAGCGCCCTCTTTGCTTATCTGGTCTCGCAGTGGACTGATCATTAAGACACGGTTCCCAGAAGTCAAGCATCACGGGCTGCGGTCCCACTTGGTGGGTACCCACTTGGATTAGTCGGCGTAGGGACCGAGGGTGTGCGGTATTGATCCTCATTTAACTATTCTGCCGTAAAGTGCTCGGCTTCGCGTGCAGGTCGTCAAGCTACCAAAGCGATGGTGCCATCCCCTCTGCAGAGGATCAAAATTGTGATGGCATGTCTTCGGATCATTCTCAGGGATGTTTCCCAAACCGTCGCTAATAGCCCATTGTGCAGCTCTAGTGCGACGTAAATGAACTACAGCAACTTTGTTTATCCGAAAAATTGAGCGAATCGTGAATATGGAGAAAAGCCTAAGTGTTCAGAAAATGAAAATCATTCGTGGTTTAATTTTTTATATATTCAAATGCTGTGTTATCTGGGCTCGCATAAAATGAGAAAGAAATGTTTAATCAATTTTTTTTATAAAATAGGTTTAGATTATTTTAAAAATTTAAAAAAAGCTTAAGATTTTGATTTTATTTTATTTATTTATTCTAGATTGAATTTAATGCAATGAATTATCTTCAGGATAGTAGTAGCCATTTGAAAAACTTGTGATTGCAGCAATACTTTTAATTCACTGATTCAAATTTTCTTCTAAGTTAAAAGAAAAAAAAGAAAATAATATATTTCAGTAGTTTTTGTTAACTTTATTTTAATTGATTTAATTTATGAAAACCAGCATATGGATTTATTTAGTTCTACATCACGGAAACAGAAACTAAATTTTATAAACACATATTAAAAAAATTTTAACCATAGCGAAATTCCTATTTACTCAAAAAATAAAAATTTTAAGAAAATACACCAACATTACTGTCTATTTAATTATTAATTAAATAATGAAAAAAATTCATTAGAATATATTTTCCTTTTCTTTCTTTTTTTAAATTTTTTATCTTTTGTGAAACAAAAACGTTAATGATATTCGCTAAAATTATGTGGCTAAATTCAATTATATTAAGTGAAATTTTAAGTGCAAGTACATAGATTTAAGTGATGATGATTATGGACAGATATATTTCAGTGGACAAGATTCTTGAAAGCATTGATTCGTTTTCGGCGATACCGAATGATTATCCTGAGATTTTTTCACCTATTTTACTTAAAATGTTTTCATTAAAAATGCAATTTGTATTAATTTTATTATTTTAGAATTCTTCTGAGGAAGCACTGACAAATAATTTGCAGAAATAAGAGGAATTTGCAGAAACATTGACAATAACCATGCTTTGTAAATACTATATTGCATAAAGAGAAATTAAAATTTATAAATTAAAAAATAAATATAATTTCAAATTACAGCAAAAATTCCTATTTACTCAAAGGATAATATTGAGAATATATATGAGCGTTAATTGTGTACTTACATATTTAATACATAGTAATAAAAAAAGAAATAAACTCATTAGTAAATATTTTCTTTGGAAGAAAAATCCTTCAAATCTAGAAAAAAGAGGCAAAATTAAATTACATTACTTGATTTTTCGAGCATAAGCACATAGATTGTAACGATAAATGATAGATATTTTTCAATGGACTAGATTTATGAAAACACTGATTTGTTTTAATGCAATATCGAATTATAAAATCGTTCACCTTATATCTAAATGCATACTATTTCTATTCAATCTGCGACTTATTTCTATCATTATCTAAAATCATTCTATCATTATATTCATTATCTATCATTCATATTTTCATAATCATATTCGTATGATATTAGTAAATTTTATATTGCTTATTAATAAATTTTGAATAGCTTATATTGATATTAGTAAATTTTGTATAGTTGATTTTAATTAAGTAATTAGGCTATAATGGAGCATTATTTTAACTCAAAACTATGCGGAATAAAATACTAATTTCTACGGACTTTAACACCTCTGATTTCAGCTCAAAAGAAATGTTGATTGATTGTGAAGAGCTGCTGAATCATTTCTTCAGCTATTTTATTGATAACTAAACTGTATGAATTTCTATAACTCTTTCTTTCATTTTACACACACTCTAAAAACCGTAAATTTAATTAACAGAATTTTTACTAATAATATACAAAGAATGTACTATATAAGAGATATCAAAACTAAAAGAACATTGAAATAGCCTTAAGGGATGGAGGCGCCATGTTTCCCTTCAGCACATGTGACGTCATAAACAAGGAGAGATAATTTTTTATTGCATTTTAAATTGCCCAAAAAGGCCTCCGTAAATGATTATGGAGGCCTTTTGGGACAATTTAAATGCTTAATTATTAAATAAACATTTAGGGGGAAAACAATTAGATTTTCGGATTCAGGAGAGAATTTCCAATAAGTTAGGATTGCAAATAAAAAATAAAAAAAATAAAGATGTGCTGTAATTGTTCATTGGCCATTACCCTTGTCTTCCATGCTTATAAATAATTGAATTTATAAACTCTGTATTTATAACTAAAAATGAAAGGATGAGAAATGATCAAATGAAGGAACGCATAACCCACGTGAGTTCCCCAGTGTTGGGCTTCCTTCTTGAACTCACGTAAACCCTTACTGTTACCCACATTTATGTAAACAATTACATAAATCATTATGTAAGCGATCGGTATTTTAATTATATTTTCTGGTTATCAGCAAATGGCAGCACGAATTATAGGTGGGAATATAGTTTCCCATTGGCTTTAAAAGTAATGGCAAGCATGATTAAAAATTAATAGAAAATAACGGATGGGAAAAATTATTCCCACGGTCTTACAAAGGCTTAATTCCTTTTGCCATTCAAAAGCTCAAAAATAAAATAATGATGATCAAAAATAAAATAATGTTTTCAACTGGGTTCAATAAGCTACTTTCTAAACTGCAACGCTCATCAGCATTTATTTTAGAGATTATTAAGTTGTTGTAACATTTGGTAATTATCGATCCTACTTTAACCTTTAGTAAAAATTACAAGTATCATTTTGTCGCCACGAGCACAAAACAAATGAACAAAATAACCCATTTAAGTTGTGCATTTTCAATAAAATAATTTCTATTTTGATATGGCGTTAGCTAAGTAACATTGAGTATATTTCAAAATCAATTATAATATTATTCCAGGTTTATTTCCCAGCAAGACATATTTATCAAATGATCTCTCCATTTTAAAAATGACTTTAAAGCTAATGCAACATACTTATAAAACATATACCGAGGATAATTACCAATTTTTCCCTTAAAGATATATATCTTTGTTAAAAACTAAACCTGTAATTATTATTGAGAGTTGAATCATATGAGCTTTGAAAGTAAAGTTTCATTTTGCATAAGTAATTTTTACTGCATTCACAAAACATCAGTTTCCTAAAACAAAAGCTTTTATCTTAATATGTTTTTCTTTCTGTTTAATCGTTACTTGTATGCTAGGAGGAAAATAGTGAATGACACATCATTTCACAAACGATATCAGAAAATAAAAGTCATTCATAAAATTACTCTCAATGCCTTTTCCACGTTGTAAATATAAAGAATTTTATCAGAAACCGATAAATCCACTACCATTAAGAACGAAAACCAAGTTCTTTGCATGCAAGCAACGGATCTTTAACTTTTAACGATTTCATAATTAAAGGTTCAAACATGCCCGGGCATCGTTGTTTTACATTTTCTTAAAGAACGAGAGCATCATAAATGTGTTCAAACTTCTTATGCTAAATTTAACTCTTCGCATAACAAATAGCTTTTTAAGCACTGTTTACGAGGTTTTACAAAGAACAAAAAAAAAGAAAATTATTTTAACTTCCACTCCCGAAACATTAAGGTTTTAAAGTATTTTTTCAGCACATGAACTGAGTCATCAATTTAAATTGGAAAGACGAATTTGCGTATAAATGCATACACAGTACTGCTTTTGAGAATTGCTAAGAAAGTTAATTTAGTTTTATAAGTAATGAGGTGTTTATTAAATTAATAAATTTTCTTTTTTAACATTATATGCATTTTAACAAAGACATAGGAATCTAAATCAAGAAATAAATACAGTTTTTTTTTTTGCATGAATACATGAAGAATAACCAAAAACTTTACTCTTCTGTATTTTTTTTTCATCCTGCGTTTCCACACTAATCTTGGATAATATCTGAATTTCGATATCATAATATATTGTTAGAAAATATTGATATTTCATCGTTACACGAAATGTTTTTCAAATTAGCTAATATATATTTTTCTTTACATTGGACAATATATTTTGTTACCTAATTGAATGAAGAAATTTTTATTTAATTATTTATATTAATCATAATTTGAGAAAGTACTTGTAATTATGAAGTTAAAACAGAATAAATATAACCGAATAAGTAAGATTCAATGATCATTATAGTATCGCTTTTTGTATTTTTAGCAACATTGTTATTTGAGATATTTATCGCTGTGGATAGTTTTGACGATATTGTCGGTCTCAAACAAAATCATAGACGATGCTGATCACTAAATTAAATTCGGTAATTGTCGTTGACAATAAGTATCATGATTTCATTTGCTCATAAATATCATTTAATTCCGATTTAACGTGAGACATGTCGTATGGGCAGGGTAGCTCAGCATTTAGAGAATCGGGCGTCGATCTCCAGATGGGACAGGATTCGATTCTTCGAGAAAACTTCGATTTTGGAGAAAACTTCCTTCCCCTTGAAATCTACGTCTAAATTAAGGAATTGGCCTCATAAATGAGGTGTGTTGCTATATATAAGCAGGGTTCTGATCTAAGATGCACTTTCACCTGTGCGGAGCTCTCTTGTCAAACGAAAGGCGTACCTTCCAGATTTAATTGACTAAAAGTCAATGGCTGGCGATGTTGGCTAGTCCAAATGTCTTTCGAAGCAACAACATGTTATATAAGATGTACCATGAAAACGTATTCTAAGGTATTATAAACGCGATATTAAAAAATATCCATGTTTCACAATTTACCATTCTAATGAGCAGCTTTGTAACCAACTCTACTCATCACTAGTTGATAGTTTCTGAACGCTTTTTGTCATTCGAGTTTATTTAATTCTGCATTTTACATTGTTATGTTCGAGCTTATTTAATTCTGCATTGTGCATTTTACATTGTTTAGATAAGTTCCACATAAGTACTTTTTTGTTTACATAAGTACTTTTCTTCCACCGTGGAGAGAATAGTTCTTTTGGACTATAACTTACTATAACCTTTTTACCTGCATATCATTGTTTGCGTATTTTTCATTGCAATACTACAATTCCTGAATCATTTTTCTTAATAAATTAATTTCTCGAATTCAGCCAGACATTAAATTTCTCAACAGGCAAACACATAAAAAAACATCCTTTCAAACTTGACAATTTAAATTTTTTCTATACAGAAATACTTTTTTTCTTTTTTTTCTTTTTCATTAAAGCAATTCCTTGAATATTATTTAAAATAAGATATAAAATAACCTTCAATGACTTAGCCTTGAAGTGAATGAATAACTACGGTTTTAATAATATTAACAAAGATAATTGCTTAACAATTTATTTAAACTTTATTCATTTACCAATTTCTTAATACAATAAACTCAGAATCCTAGTCTGCTATAAAATACCTTGATTTAAACTGCTACACAAATAATTATTTTTCATATTAAATTACTTAAGCTTGCTCATCGTACCATTTTCCTCTACTTCTTGATCCAATACTGCAAGCTTTTTAAGACTAATTTTATAATACATTAGACAGCTCCTGGCATTAAAAAAAAATTATTATGCACGAAATTATTTTTATTTTAAGCTTATTATGGAATTCGTTATTTTAAACTTATTCTCCGCACAGTAATCTTCGTTACTTTTTCCATCTCACTATTTATTACTTTTCTCAATATGTTTCTCAATAAATATGAAATAGTTCATACAGTTTAAATCTCCTCTTTTTAATGGCCAAGCGCAACGTTTATAAAATTAATTTTTCACGAAGTAGTCATTGAAATATTATTTGATATCGAGTAAGATAATACACACATATATATATATATATGTGGGGGGGGGGGCTGATGAGGAGATTATATCTTTTCTTTGTTTTGCTTTCCGGATTTTTAATTTCTTTCTTTCTTCTTTTTTTAAATACTTTTGAGAAATTATTTTTAATAATTTTCTTCTCTTGTCATTATTTTTTATTATTTTCCATATTTTGTCAATATTTTAGCTTATATATATATATATACTTACATTTGTTAACTAAATAGCTAAATTATGCAATTGCATGTAATTTCTTTTTTTAAAAAAATTCTCAAGAGATACATTTTATTTTTGCAGCTTTGACTGTTGAAGGAGGAGGTGTAAATGCCACAGCAATTATGGCAGATATAGGAGCAACAAATGGAATCCTTCACATCATTGATCGCGTGCTTGGAATGCCTTATCTTACAGTATACAGCAAGCTCGCTCATGATCCGGATTTACAGTAAGTCCTTCTACAACTCTCAACTAGGATTAGTCACTTGCTGAAGGAGTTTTGAAATCTGCTGTTTAGGCCATAGAATGCACTATTTAATTCTCTACTGCGATTTTAAGCCTACCTGAATTAATATGCATTTAATTTTAACTTTCTTGAGATGCTTTGAGAACAGTTGATTGTATGTTAAATTCAACCGTCTTTCTTTCAAAGTACTTTCTCGCTGAAGCGTTTGTAAATTATGAAAGGGAATTGAATTTCTTAATGAAGCTTGAAACATAAAAAGAAAGTATTTTATCATTTTCTGCTTACTTGCAGTAATTGCAAAATTTATAATGAGATTTTTTGAATAAATAATAGGTCACGATAAAGATATTTACATTTGTAAGCTCCGATTAGCTATTAAATCATTAAGGGTAATTAAGTTTGATGCTAAGGCATTTTTTGTGGGATTAATTTCACAATCTTGTAATACTATGTGACTAAGTAATCTAACTGAGCGTTGTAGTGTATGACTAATTATTATTACAACGTATGACTTTCTATATGAATATTTAGAACGATATAACCTATTAATGTTTTCTTTTACGAACTTCAGTTTAACTTTTAAAAAACTTTAAAAATGTCGGAACCTTGTCTAATTAAACTATTTTTTTCCAAATATTTTCTCATCACTCCCAAAATATAACCACTAAGTTGTAAATTATTATTCGGTTTCCATTATTTGTTTGTATCATTTCAAATCTCTCAGTGTTATAAATTGTCATCTATTAGCATGTCAAAAAGATTTTATTTGTTTTTGCTTTAAAGTGGAATAGTGTTGGTTAGTAATATTTAATTATTTCTGTTATTATTTTTACTAATTTGGGTTATTAATTATTCTTTTTAATTAAAATTTGTTTACTTTTCATAATTCTCTAATTATAGAGTGAAATGAATTATTTAATTTCTTCCGAGAAAAAAAATTAAAATTTTTTAGACTGAAAATTGCCATTAAAATAACGAAAGATTTTACTGGCCTTTCAGTTAGTAGCTTAAATGGGGTGATGAATATTTGAGTATTATTTTCTTCCATATAATTTATAATCTAGATTCATATAATCTTTATAATGTAGAGTTATTCTAAGTTATTACCGATGTTTCCTATTCACCTGATTTCAACATTTATTAACGGAAAATTATTTCAATAAAAGATACTAATTGATGGTTTTTGTGCTGAAAGGGGGATTAACTTATTGAATTACAACTAGCAACTTTCTGAACTTGTTTCAAAACAGGAAAAACTTCATGCGGTTGCACTTTACAGATGTTTAATTATTGTTTCTATTACATTCTTTAATAAAAAAAAATTATCGCTTTAGATCGGGGTTTCCTAATCATGAACCACATTACCATGGAGTACTAATGAGGAAGTGAAAGGAACCACGAGATGTCCATGACTTCTTATTATTTATTCTTTAATAGTAATTAAATGATTAATCCATGCTAGTTTTTAATCCATTAATAGTAATCTGTTGCTATTCAAAAATAAAAATATCATTGTCAAGTGAATAGAGTTTTAAGTACAAGTGAAATTTGAGTATCCTAAATGAAGAAGCTATGAGGGTTCTCATTCGCTTTCAATACTTGAGAAAAAATCGAAAATTGAATGCGAGGAGCTCGATTAAGCTTCATTCTTTGATTTAAAAACGCTATGTAGTGATTTCGCAATACTATCGAGTATGAAAGGTAATTTCTCTTAATGTCCAGTTTATCTTATATTATTAATGCTTGCAATAGCAAATGTTATTGCTAATTCCTCCTTAGTAATTACCATTAAAGTACTTGAGGGGATTAAGTATGAGTAGTAGTATTTATATTCTCATCACTTAATTTTAAAATTTGCTTCACAGTCTTATACGCATAGACAGAATTTATTTGTATTAAGAAATATTGTACCGCAGACAAATATTTTAAGAACTGAGATGCCGTAAGACAGCTTAAAAAAAGTCGGGGACCCAATGAGATAATAAAATTCCAATATTAATTTAGCAATGATCTGTGAATTGTTATCTTAATTTTTCATTGATTTTTGCTTTTATCATGGAGAAATAATTCTGGTAAAATTATGAATGGTAACTGAATCGTAAAAAAAAAGAAAATAACAATTCAGGTTAATTAAACCAAAATATTTAAATTATTCACTTAGTATTTTGTCTGTTTACATGGTAATGGTTTCAAAATTATAGTTTTTATTACCACACATTTGGTAAAAAATACAAAACTGAAAAGTCAATTTAACCGAATAAGTGATTTTTATGCGGTGCTCTAAGGTATCATGAAAAAAATACTAAGCTTTACCACAATTACCAAATTTTATCACTAGTTATAGAATCAGATTTTATTGTCAATTTTACCAAACTCGTTACTAAAATACCTTGGTAAGAATTACCAAGCATTTTAGAGTACACATAGAGCCAAAATCGCGGTAAATTTTACCATATTCTGGTAGTTTTGACTCTTTTTTCTCACTAATTTTTCTTGTCTTCATCAGAAATATTTATTTTGTTTCAACAGCACTACTTATAAGCTTGGAATGCAGGAGTCGTGGAATCAGAAGTTGAATGATAAGGAAAAGCGTTATACTTTCTTTGCTCCTAGCCGCAAAGCTTGGGAAGATCTTGAAAGGGAAATGCCATCAGAGCACAAACAATTACATTTGGGTCAATTTAGCTACCATGTACACAAGGTAAAATTAATAAATTGCTATATAACATAATGAAGCCTGTTTAATGTTTTTCTTAACATTGTTAGTAATGTTATAACAGAGTGTATCACTGTCTGTTTTTAAATTTTAACAGTGCTTTAATTTTTTAAATGCATCTAAACTAATAAGGTTAAAATTTCAGAAATTCTGTATCAAATCATGGTACCGGAATTTTAGGTGCATGAACTGTAAAATCTATTTTTAATATAAAATACTGTACCATAATTCTTACAGTAATCTTTATTTAATTAGAGGGTTTCAGTGATTTTACTCTAATTATTACTGTACAAATTACTATAAAAAATTAGATTGAAGAGTTTTGCTGTAAAAAGTACCGGTACTTTAAGTGCCAAAACTTTTTACAGTAATTTGATTCAATTACTTTGCAATGTAGTAGGTTTCAAATTTGAAATTGATGAGCATTGAAACTGAAGTTTAGCTTTTTCAAATTAAATAAGGAGATTTTGTTGAATATTTAAATTATTTGTGGAAAAATCCTTTTCCTTCAGCTTAAAGGATTATGGAGAATTCTTAAGTTTGGCGAATGAACATGATTCTTCCTTTAGCGAAGCATTATTATAACAATTATTAATACTTGAAAAGTTTATTAAACTTACGAAATACTTATCGCAATAGCTATGAGTGTCTTAAAATGCTTAAATATTTTTTTTATTTACTTAATTTTTAATATTTGTATTAATAGTACTGACTTATGGCAATTATGTTTTTTCTTGCTCATAGAGGAACAATGAATTTCGCATTTGATATGCCATCTATTAGTAAAATAAATTCTTATGAATTCTTACCTAAGTAATCATTCTTTTTAAGACCCCAAATAATGTAAAAATCTTTTGTTTTACTTTGAGTAAAATTATATGTACTTGAAACAAAAACTTTTAGATTTTTCCATGTAAATTTATTTGAATTTTCAATCTGATGTTAAATACGTTGAAACAATATTGCGCCCTTGGAAAATGATATTTTACAAAACATTGAAAAAATAGCCTATCTTAATTTTAAAAAATTAAAATACACTTCTTTAAATAAAATATTCCAACAAAAATATGATGCCTATTTTATATATCCTTTATATCCTTTTATACAATGCAAAAAAGATGAATTTCTAGAATAAAAATTGAGTTAAATAATTTTTTTAATTTTATTTAGTACACTTGCTGCTTTGCCATTGCTAATTAAAAGTCTTATTACACTTATTTTGCTACCAAATGTAAAAACAAATTATCAATTAATTGCTTGTTTCTATCTGCGAAGTTTAAATCAAGCAATGCTACTTAGACTTTCTATAATAATTTTAAGCAATTGAAACTATTGTGTGAAACCGAAATTATGAAACTCAGGGAATTTGTCTGAAACTTGTACTTTTGATAATATATCAGTCGTTAATCGTTCAGTAATAAAAATTTCAATAGCATGTGTTAATGATTTAACACATGCTATCTATGTGCTATTGATTTAACACATGCTATCTATGTGCCATTGATTTAATACATACAATGAATATATTTTATAGAAACGGTATTATTCTTAATCTTTGACATTTTCTGACTGTTCTGTTATTCTGCTTCTTTTTCCATTGGAACAATTGTGAAACGCTAATTTGTAATGTTATTTTTAACGCATCATTATTTTCTTGCAGATACTCGATCGTCATCTAGTTGTTGGAAATGAACTTACTAAGGAAGATCTGGAAAAACTTGGAAAAGTCCAAATGGTTCATGGAATGTTTCGAATTTCACCTGGATATCAAAGTGGTTAGTACTCATTATATCGAGAGTTATTAGAAAATCATACAATAATTAGAAAATCATACAATAATTAGAAAATCATACAAAAGCTAGAAAATCTTATAATAATTTGAAAATAATATAATAATTGGAAAATCATAGGTTTATATTTTCATCGATTCTACTGCATTGCGTTTATCACCTATGATTTCCAGAAATAATTCAAAATGAATATAGCGAATGTAATTCAAAATGAATATAGCGATTACAAACAGCTATAACTATCTAATGAAAAATAATTTTTTATATGAATGTTGATTTAACCTAAAAATTTCTTTACGTAAGGCGCAGTGAAGCGAAATCATGCACATGCGCGAGTTCATTAGTGAAAATGGCGAGTCCCGTGCAGAAAGCATTATGCGTGTTAGAATTTAACAATTGTCATTATGTTATCCCCGGAAGGAGAAGATTTCGTCAGCGTTACAATCAAAAACCTCGAAATGGGAACATTATACGCAGATGGCATAGGATATTTGATGAAACGGGATGTTAGTGCAAAGGAAAAAGTATCAAAATACCACGTGTTTCAGTTGAAAAAGTTGAAAGAATTCGCGGTGTGTATGAACGAAGCCCACGAAAATCGACGCACGAAGGCCGTAGGGAGTTACAAATGCCACAAACAACGATATGGCGTGTTCTCAGACAGAGGCTGCAACTGAAACCGTACAGAATTCTACTTGTGCAGCAATTGAAACAGGAAGACGCGGTACACGTATGAATTACGCTATGTTTATGCTGAAACGCATGGAGGATGAAACAATGGCTGATCGTCTCATTTTTATCGATGAAGCAACCTTCCACATAAATGTTCAGGTTAGCTGGCACAACAGTCGAATATGGAGTATGGAGAAGCCTTCCACTATAATTGAACTTAGCGAAAGATGAAAGTTCTTAGCAAAAGTTCTGCGTGATCTCATCACGTAAATTGTACGGTCCTTTTTTCTTCCGTGAGCGAAGTGTTACGTTAGATGTTTATCTTAACATTCATGAGGTATGGTTAATGCCACACTTAGATACTTATTCTACGGATTACATCTTGTAGCAAGATGGAGTACCGTCACACTAGGGTAGGATGGTTCACATATTTTTAAATCAACATCTTCCAAACCGTTGGACCTGTCGAAGTGGAGATGCCAGCGATGTCATCTGCTTTTGGCCACCAAGATCTCCGAACTTGACACCCTGCGATTTCGAGGTATGGGGATTTGTATATGTACATTCCATGCCCAAAACAATAGAAGAACTCAAAAAACTCATTTGCAATGTGCTTGCGTCGGTTACCGCATAAATGTTTTTGAATGTATGGCGTGAAATGGACTATAGCTTGGGTGTTGTCCTTGCGACCTAGGGAAGTCCCATAGAAACTCTGTGACGCATGTATACAAAACGTTGAAGTTCCTTCTACATTATGTTTAAGTTTTATCGATAAATTCTTATTCCTTAAATAGTTATAGCCGTTTGTAATAGCTATATTCATTGTGAATTACAATTTATTTAACAAAGTATTGAAAGCGTAGGATGTAAAGACTATCTTTTTACTCTAACAAAAAGAAATACTGTGGAATTTCTAAATTTTTTCATCATTATTACAGGAGCAATCCTAATTTATTTATCATGTGTAGTTTCAAATAATTTATTTATTGTTTTTCTTCGTTTCTTAAGCTTTAGTAAAATTAATTTTTTTATCCCGAAATCTTTTAGTGTGCGTTGCATGTTTACTAGAACTTCGGATTCAAGTGATAGGATAAAGCTTTACAATGAAAGAAGTTTTCAAGTAAAATTAATTAGCAATCAAATGAGCAGGTTGAAATGTGCAAAAATAAAAGAAGGAAAATTTCAAGTTACGGTATAAAATTTCTAAATACGTTCTTTCATTAGTAAAAAGAAAGTTCCGTCAATCATCAACAATTTTATTTATTTTTTTTTTTATTTATTTTGAGTTTAAAAACAAAAACTTTTCGATTCTTCATTTTCGTTACCTTAAAAACACCAGTTGCTATCCATCGTTATTTAACTTAATCAAAAGCTCTGTAGTGCTATCCATCAAAAGATTTAAACTTAAGAACTTTTTAATAAAAGTAATAAAATTTGTTATATATGAGACGTTTTTACTAACCTCATTAAAGTCATTACGAATTCGGCAAATAAAGATTTACCACTTCCAAGCGTAAGTATAGTTTTGAAGTAATTGCACTAGCGTAATTTAAAGAATCTGTTTCGCAGGCATGCGCAGTTAGTTAAAAGCCATACGTCCGTGAGCATGCGGCATGGTACACAACAGTACTAAATCTCTTTTTACCTGCTAAGCACTACTTTCTCGCGAAAAAAATAGAGAGATATAGGTTTTTTGCCTCAAAAAAGCCACCAACTTAAAGATCGGGAAAAAAACATAAGAAGTTAAAACGTATTGAGTATCTTGCATAAATTTATAAAAGAACATAATTTAGAATTGAAGAGTGCAGAACCCAGTATTTCATCAAGAATGGTGTGTTTTAAAAAATTCAATCAAGAGCCTTGCCTTATTTTGTCATGTTGTTTAATTAATTATGAATAAATAAAAATCTAGAAATTTTGTAATTTAGAAATGAATTTTAGTAAATACTTGTTAATTGTCAATGACAAATTCAAATTAAATTATTGTATCAGGTTCATTAAAAGTGGAATGGGAAGGTCTTGAAGCTCATATTGTCCGTCCTGATGTCAAAGCTACAAACGGAATTATCCATGTCATCGACAGAGTAATGATGAAAAGAAGAGATCTTACCAAGTCTGGAGCAGGATCTTGGAGCCCATCGATTATCACATTTGTACTCCCAGCTATTTTCTTCTTGATTTAAATACAATTTTAATTGATTATTCTAATAAAATTCGAAATTTTTGACATCAAGTGTGGAAATCTGAAAAGAAAAGGAAACTTTCGAATCGCTGGTTTATGTACTTATATATAATTTTTTTTGAAAACTCACTAAAAATCAATGTTTTCTGTTTGTATATATTTTATGCAATGATGTTCATGTTAGAATGTGTTTCATTATGATATTTCAACGTTTCAAGAATGTAAAAGATTTCTTGGAGAGTAAGCTAATGCACTTTTTGAAAGTTAAAAAGTCGTACATGCTTTGTACAAATAGAAAGTAATAAAGCATTCTGTGAAAATATTAATTTTATTGTCTCTAAAGTTTTGACAATGTTTTAACAATGGACTTACAAATAGAAATATTTACTTAACATGTTCTTTGTAGTGAATTTTGTAACCTAATTAAATGGACTGGTTAATTGACTGCTAATTGTAATTTTATCAAGAAGGCTGTCATGCTGCATCATTTTCGTGTAATATTGTAGAAATTCTTCTATAATGGTGTTAAATAAACGTAACCCATTCTGATAATAAAGCACCTAGAAAAATGATGCCATCAGGATATTCTAAGAGCAATGATATACCTACATTTGGTATTATTAGAATCTGCTTAACGGGTAGATTTCTTTTTGAATAGTTTTGAAAAAACTTCAAGAAAAAATAAAACTCTCAAGTGAAACGTAAAACTGTGTTTGAAAAGAAGCAATATTTATGTTTCTTTCAATCAACAGATTTTGTATATATCTCGACAGTATACTTTCTTAACATTTAAACATGACTCTCAAGCTCAATGTTTACTATTTATTTGCTGTTATATTTATAATGCTAAATGTGGCTGCAAACATTTAAATTTTATGTTATTTTGCGTCTCTAAAATAATCTCAGACTGAATTTAAAGAAATAAATAAGCATTTTTGTATGTAGAAAACAATTCACCTTTAATGGAGTTTTACAAAATCGTATGCATGTTAGAACCTTTATGTCAGTTTAAGCTCTAAAATCACAAGGTTCAATTAGGTAGTATGCATATCTGACTAGCTTGTAACATATCTGGGATAATGATAAGCCACATTGATTGTAGATTTCCTTTTATTTACCAGTAGATCATTTCTTCTCACTTCTTTAAATACATTTCTGAAAAGCTTAACAATGACTCATCTATTGTAATTATTTCATACAAAAATATACGTAGAAAATTAACTTTGAATATGGTTCAATTTATTTGTCTTCTTATTGTACCATTTTTTTCTTCCAATGCATTGCTAGTTCTGTGCCAATCAAAACTAACAACACATCAAATAAAATAGGTGCTTTTATTTTTGTCCACATAATTTTTGTGTATTTAAAGGATTACATAAGGATTATAAAGGAATTTTTTTGTTTGATAAATCATAAGCTGTTAGTTAATATATATAAAGTGTAATTCAGATTTTTTTAGAATTAATAATGCATTGCCAAGAGATTTTCTAATTGCCAATAAATTCTAGAGGTCATCCATTTATTCTGTGTTCAAATAAATAAATGCCAATTTGCATTTATATTAATTGTGAGATGTTTCTGTCAAAAATGAGAAAAATAATTTCGTGTAAATTCATATTTCAGCTTAAAAATTTAAATCTTTTATAGTTATGCAAATTTATTAATAAATCTTCCTTACACTTTTTGAAAATGGATATTGTATGAAAGGAGGGAAGTCATCGAGTGGTGTATAAAATGAATTATTAATTAAGAGCTTTGGAAATATGTAGCAGATTTTTTCATTCAATTTATAACTGTTTTTTATTTAAAAAAATGTTTAAGATTTGGTTTTAATAATATGTCCATTATTTTTTTTTTATTTTTAATTGGCGACGAATTAATTTTTTCATTTAAAAATACTGAAAGGTACGATCAGATATTTCATCCAAGTGTACCCATTTTTGAGCTTTACTTGTGTTGCAAAATATCATTAAATATTGCATACACATTGTTCAAAAATATTAATATATTCCCAAAATTATTCAAAAAGGCTGTTATTGTAAAAACTTCAGTCTCGTCATAGCTTTCTCGTTTGAAATGAAAGTTTTAAAATCTTTAAATCAACTTCATATCAGAAAAATTCTTGCTAGAGCCCATTTGTAACGACTGATTTTGATCATATATTGTAATGATTTTAATTTCTATTAACAGGCACATTTTGTTACAACTTTTCTTGTAGAAAACTGCTGTTATCTAGTCACTTTAATAATTTTAATTACAATCATTTATTAATAATCACATATAGAAAATTTTACGATTGTTAATAATTGTTCATAAACATATATGTATATAGATGCATTCTAATCTTTTAAAAAATAAAGTATATTTATTTTATTTATTATCATTTAGGTAAGTGTTCCAAACTTTACAGATTATTATATAGGCATGAAAATGTAAATAGTTTCTGCACATTCAGCCTATAGATGGGTTACTTAAATATGATCTCAATTTTTGGGTTACATTCACTGCCAATAATTTCATTATTTCATATGTGCTTTTCTCAATTGCACGGCTGAAGCTTTAGCCCAGTTCTTAAGAAGTAATTTTCCTCCAAATGTCATAATATATGAAATTTATGATCGGAAAATATCGAGCTTTGTAATATGCGTAGCTAAATCGGACAAATTTTTGATCAGTTTTTAATTTTATGTTAATTAAAACAAAAAGTCTCCATCTTTAATTTACGAAAAACTATGATTGTCATTAGCAGCAGATTTGTATTATAAACTATGTGTTATGTATATCTCATCTATTAACTTTATTAATTTCTATTTTGATGCAATGTTGCTGTTGAAAAATGATATGTCAATGTGTTGTACTAAATTTTGAAATCAATGAAATTTGTAATGTTATATATTTAAGAAAGAGGTTATGAATTCATTATAACGTGGATGTATTAAAAGTGTTTTTATTTGATAAAATATATTTGTTGTTTCTTGTGCTTTGTATATTTTATAAATATAAATTTAGATACCTTGTAATTTAAGCTAAAACCATGTGTGATGAAAATGACCATGTTTTACTCTTGAAAAAGGATCCGGCCCTAAAATTCTAAAATACTCATTTTTAAAGATTTGCCAAATGATTCTATTTTCACTATGACTTTATTATTGTTGTTTTCATACATAATTTGATCAAAGTTGTTTAATTATCTATTTGAATTTTTGCATTTATTTACTCCATTCTTCAGTTTTTCTTATGTCTTTTATTGTATTATATAATGACGTTTGTTGTTAAAGACTAACTAAATTTCTTATATTTTGAAATGTAACGTTTCAGTTCAGCTCTTCGTAGTATATTAGGCCGGCCTTTCCATCAACGACATTAAAAGTCATATCTTTATTTGCAAGTGTTTAAATTGTTTGTTACTATAACATAGGTGTTTTCTATTGAATGACTCTTCACATTGAATGTATTAAATATAAATCATTAATAAAGCCATAGAATCGTAATTTATTCATTAGTTTGGCATGAAGTTTGATTATGACATGAAAGATGATACTTGCTGAGGAGAGGGCTAAACATTCTACATTTTATGCGATGGCAGATATTAAAATAACTATATTGTTTAGTAGTTGAAATACTTAACGAATTAAAACTTAATAATTAAAGTTTATTGTAATATAAGTTCTTTGAGTTATGGAAGCTTTATTTTGAAAAGACAGATAACTAAACCTTGATATCATTCAAATAAAAAAACACATTAATTAATACGTAATGTAAAACATTTAACTGACAAATACTTTCATGACAAAATAATCTTCATGATTGCATCGTTTATTATGTGATGCAAAAATCTATTTCCAATTTTTTAAGTTAATTTTTACAAAATTCTTACATAAAAATAACAACAAAAAACGCAATCATGAAACAAAAAAAGCATTTTGCTTCTCTTTTCTCAGTGTTATAGAAATTTCCCATTCAAAAAAATGGTGATATTTCTTAAACAATTTAATTTATTTTAAAATAAGATAAAAATCCTCTTTGAAGTAAGATTCATGATTTTAAAATAGAATGTAAGACTTCACGTTATTTTGAAACAAATTTTTCCCATGAAATCAAATGCTTGAAAATTTCTTCCATCCTTCAGCTGACAAAAAGCTTACGAAATGATATTAATAAAAACATTATTTTTTTAAACCGAAAACGGTTAGAAAGTTAAATAACAGATTTTTTTCGAATTACCAGTCGCTGGAAATACTTCCCTCAAATCGCTAATAGCTAAGCAAATTTATTTTAAATAACTTTATGAGTTCCACATCACTGAATCAAATACATACTGAAATTTAAGTGCTCACGTTTTCCGGTAATTTCCGGTAATCCATTAATTACTTTTATGAGCAGCAGCTTTTTTAAAGAAATATACCACCATGAATATTTAAAGAAAAAGTAATCTTCATATAATATTTTTTGGGATTTTAAAACAGAATATAACACATTGCTTGATTTTGAAATATCATTTATTTACTCCATTCNTATATATATATACTCCCCTCAAATGATTAACTGCGAAAAAAAATTTCCTTCCAATTCTAAATAAGGTGATCACCGAATCAAGTACACACTGAAGTTCAAGTGTTCACATTTTCTGGTAATTGGTATTTCTGTATTAATTACCTTAATAAAGTTTAGCTTTTCTAATGAAATAGTCCTCACTCCAATGTTTTCATAGCTATCTTAGGAAGAATTTTTCTTTGTATATTATTTATGGGTTGAAATCGGGTTAATAAAGTGTAGAATGTTTAGCATGGCTGTCTCTTATATTTACCTCTGTGCACATTGTGACAATCTGTGGTATTTATTTGCTTCTGTACAGACGCATTTTAAGAGGTAACCCTCCTAATCTATCGCAGTTAATATGTAAGAAAAGATTATTAGAGCTCACACAGCAAATACCATGTAAGTAACATTTTTTGAAATATAAAGACAAAAAACCAAGATGCCTTCACATGCAAGCATTACTAATTCCTAGTTGCTGAAATGTGTTCGGATAATTGTTGTAGTAAAATGAAAAAAAAAATAATAATAACAAAAAGGCTTTTAAACGAAGCAGAGAGACAGACACTCTCTTTTGGATATGTGAAACGAAAGTAGAATGAAGTTAATTTGTGTCGGCTAAAGAAAAGTAATCATTGTATTTGTGTCCATGAGTTATTGACTATTCAAGGTGTCATGAATGGGGTTTCCATATTCCCCGTAATGTACGCAACTTTACAGTAATGTGCAGTGGAAATGTAAAAATTTAACATTTAGTGTTTTGAATTTCGCACCATTACAAAAAAACGTAAGTAAAATAGAATAAAACGATTCTTGTGAACTTCGTTGCCTCTTTATTTTTCTCTTAGTAAAAATTATTTTAATTTTCTGAAGCTAAATTTATCTTTAACTCCATAAAACGTTCCCCTAATCTTTAATTAACTTCTAATAATATATTTTTTACCTTTGTTTTAACTGAAAGTATCTACAAAAGTTAGGAATGATTTATTTTTGTTTTTCTGTATGACTTTTTTCATTTGATCTAACACTAGAAAGTCTCACTGAAGTCTTATGAATGTTTTGCAATCTCTTTCGTAAAATGTATGTATGTCTTAGTTTATTCTTATTAGATTTGTTATACTTGGGTGTGCTAAATGTAGCGTTTCTGAATTTCTTAAATATTTTATATTATTTGCGGCTATCATATTTTAAAATTCAAAAGTAATTTTTCTAATGTTGGTAGATGACGATAAATTTAGCGGTAAATATATTTTTAAAAAATATTATTTTCTATGATTGTAAGAAACTAATATTTAGGATCGTCGTTGAACAGCACGACTACTAATGTTCAACTCCGTAGCCTTGTAATTTTAAACCCGATCCAGGAGATAAAGGAACTCCTGGATCAAGCAACTGGAGAAATATGCCTTCGTGTAGGACTTTTTTGAGGGAACAAACCCGCATTTGCGTTACATCTAGAGGAAAACCATGAAAACTTCCCATGGTTAGCCTGACGGCAAGGGGACTCTATCCCATGATCAATCTACTACAGAAGATATTTTACGACAGCACTGTAGTCGGTGCAAGTTAGATGCGGAATTCGTATCGTCCAGTCAAAGCTGGAATTCGAATCCGGTTCACTTTTTTGGAAGGCGAAAGCTCTATCCTCTGAGCTATCATGAATCAAGAAACTAATATTATAAGTTACTTTGATTAAGGAACTAATATTTACTTGACTGGGCTTGTGCTAACTTCAAATAACAACGACCCAAAAAACTTTGTACCGAGTGCAATATGAATTTATCCATTCATTTGTCATTAAAAAATTTTAATTGCTAGATAAATCATATGACAAAAACAAACATTATTTTTTTTAAAATCTTGCTTTAATCTGTGCTCTCTAATAGATAAATTTACTCTCAGCTGAGAGTATTTTTATAAATGAAGCTATTAAAATCTACTTAGAGAAAAAAGACATAAAAATAAAGCATTATTGATAAAATGTTTCATTCATTTTCAGAAATTTTTTAAGGCATTATTTAATAGAATTATTTCCACATCTACTACAAATTTTTAATAAATGCTACAGTGACAATGATTTTGATGCGGGCATTTAAGGAGCAAATAAAAGTTTTCAGGGAATTTTGAAGCATTCTTGAAATTAGAAGTAGTACAAATGAATATTTTTAAAGCAGTGGAACTTCTAGTGCTGTGTTTAAAATAGCATTTCGTTACAATAAACCATTGTTTAGGTATAAAAAAAAACAATATGACCATTTTTTTCCAAAGTCTGTAAAATAATTATTTTTTGATTAAAGGAGTGTAAAGATGGCTTTTTTAGGAAAACTTTATTCAAATGGCCTTAGAATTGAAAAATTTTTTCGTATGTGACAGCAGTGGAAGTATTTTGTGGGTCATTTTCAGTTACATTTGACTTAAGCAGTGTGCATTTAAATTAACCAGTGATCAAACAACTTAAATATTTTAAAATTACGATTTTTTAATATAAATAATGTTTTAAAAGTACCATTTCAAATTTCTTTAAATTTTATGCCTTTTTCCCAAACAATTTGATGCTAATCTCCGAAAGATCTCTGTAAAGTTCTAAGAATCCACTTTAGAGTTAAGCATAAGCAGTCTAATAACTCTGTAAAAAATGTTTGCACTTCAGCCAAATTGTGTTTCTCAATAAATTTAAACAATAATATTCTGATCTTTTAAATTCAAACAACAGTTTTCTGATATCTTTAAAATCTATATTAAATTGGAAAATTCAATTAAAATATTACAAGAAAATATACCGTCAATTTTATTGAGAAGTTATTAATAGTCCCTTTTATCTATGAAAATTAATATCTCAGAGAACAAAATCGAAATTCACACTTTCATTTCCATATTATTTTTCTGAGATCCAATGCCAACATATCGAAAGTATGGATAAAAACATTTTAGATATTCTATTAAATTGCTAAGAGATATATAAAGTAATGATAGTCAACAAGCTATCATGTTTTGAACAAGTAAGATTGAAATTAAATGGTGTACAAACTTCCACGTTACCAATATTATATAAGGAAAACCATTGAGAATATAATATTAGATACCAAACCCTTTTGCTGATATGTTGAACTTGGAAATTTTCCAAAAGAAGAGGAAAACTATAGATAAAAAGAACTTTGTTTAAAACTGTGTTTCTTAGTTTAACACTGTGTTTTAAAACTCTTTGCGTTATGAGGAAACATTAATTTATGAAAATCGCCTCACTTTTGATTTTTTCGAATTATAATTTTATCTTTTACAACTTCTTACGGTCTGACAGCAGTCTTGCCTTATGGCAGTCCATTCTCGAATGTTAGAGAGATTATGCGCCTTCACGCTATAATCCATGCATTCACGCACCTATGCTCCGATGTAACTGAGCGAGCGCAAAGTTTGTGTCTTGGGTAAGCGCTTAGTTTAGAATATGCGTACGAGATAATAGCTGCGAGTACTAAATGTCCTAATTGTTACAACTTGATACGAAGCAGTTAAGCTACAATCAAATTGAACTTTGGAGCAGTTTTTTAATTTTTGGTAGAAAGCACTGAAGTGTCATCAGTAACTGAATTCAAACTTGAAGTTTTAAGTTTTACAATGCAGGCTTAAGAAATATACACAAAACCCTTAAAAAAACTCTAAATACAAGCATGCACTAAAATTATTATAAATAAATTTCAGCAACACTATTTTGAGTTTGATTGCTAGCCTCCATTAGTTGCATGTTTTTGTGAAATTTTGAAGAACATATTTTAGTACGGTGTGTGATTGAAAGGTAAGTTTATAATCGTTTACTTATACTAATAGATGATTTTTAAAAATGCATCCATCTTTAGAGGCATAGGATGGATGTCCAAGGTATAATACAGGGTGGATATAATTAAAGTTCAGCTTTGAAATGATCATAAAAGGAAAAATGCTGGATCAAATGTTATCGAGCTTGA